ATTAATTAATCTCATCGAGAAGGAATTAATTGGTCATTAATGAACAAGAAACCTTTGATCGTTCTCCAACACACTTGCTAGAATTCTTTAGGTGGTGAAGAGGTGATTATTTGTTCAAGCTGAGACCTTTAACTTCTTATCATCTTGATCAAGCAAAATATGCGAAGGTGATTATTTCCTTATCCCGGTTAGACTGTAAGACCGAAAAGCAGAGGAATGTAAAACATTACCCTTCTCTAGGATTAAGAATGCATTTTCTCAGATGTTGTATAATGATATTATAATCAATGAGGATCCCCATACTTTGTGAGACCCTTATATTATTGCAAGGCAAAAAAACTATTGGAGAATCTGACTTTTTGAGTAATGGAAGATATACAGTATATCAGTAAAATTTCTTTAACTAGGCATGACTGCTAGAAGATATCAGAAATTATACAACAAGACTGAAAAGTCATATAAGAACTTGAGGCCTACTATTAGTCATTTTGTTTTACACAGGTGAATATAAAATCAAGACTGAAAGAAAGGAAGTGTTGAGCAAGATACTGGATCTGAGTAGGTGATAAGTACCTCAAACAGTTACAAGAAAATAATCAAGAATACGGATGGATAAGTTTTTCAGATGGTTAGGAAAAAGAAGGATATCCCAGAAGGGTTGATTTCTAATTAGAAGAAATTTCTAGTGGAACTTCTTTGAAGGATATAAAGCAATTTTAAATTTCTTTTTTCTTTTTTTATTTTTATGTAATGCATTTGCACATTTTTAGATATCACTCTTTCCTTTTATTTTTTTCTTTCTCCTTTTGTAGTTTTTTAAATTCAGTTCCTTGAAGGATAATAAGCAGTGACAATCTGCTGGCAATAATGGATAAGTTAGAAGAATCTTTACTCAATACTTAGTTCAGAGTGAAATATTGTTTTCAAGATTGCACTTAGAGGCTGAAACTCTTTTGAGAATTGAAAGTCATTGACAAGTGTGTCAGTATGAGTTTTTAGTTTAGCTATGATGCAATTGCCCTATGTATCTCAATTGGTTTTCTTAATGATTAATAAATACACAATACTGGCCTGACCATGGGTTTAAAAAAAAAAAAAAAATAGAACACTTGCTAGAATGTTTAGACTATAAGAACCAATTATAAGCAGTTTAGAATAAAGGAATAGAAGGAATGCTTAGGAACTTTAGAAAACTTTTACAAAAAAAAAAAAGTGAGGCTGAGAAGAAAAATATTAAGCTAATTATAGATAATGGAGAAGAATTAGGGGTGATATGTGAAAGTCATTTAAATTGTAATTATTTTTTTTAATACATAATAAAGACAAGCCATGTCAGCCTGACAGCAGGTTAAAAAAAAAAAGAAAAGCCATAATTATTGGGATGATTTTTTTATTTAAAAAATTGTTCGTAATCTTGAGACAATGGTAACTATGATAACCTAATTATTTACAGAGCGACGTTCCGACGCACCGTATTCGACTTTCATTGAAATTTCGATCTAATATTGTTGCCAAGCTTTTTTTAATAAAAAAAACCAAGGTTTAATTTTTTGAATTTAAATTAAAAAGAGTTTTGTATGCATGCAACGCGTAATCAGTCATGCTCCGTAACTTTCTCGTTTTAATTAATATGCAGCTTAAAAAGTCAATGTCGTGCTATAGATTGGCATAGATTAGGGAACAATGAAATTGCACGCACCAACGCATTTCATCGTCCTCACGAAAATTTTTGTCTCTACGTTAGTCTATGACACAAGAGGAGGGGAAATGCGTCGGCTCCTAGGAAGTGATCCATCCTCTTGAATGCATTCTCGGGCGTTCATAGGAGGAGCTTGTCCTTTTATCATGAGTTCGAAATGTTCGAAAACCGCAGTATTTCAAAAATTGCATCATAGTTTATTTATGGGTGGTTGTGGATTTAGTGATGTGGGACAAATCTGCGATCTTCCAAAGATCTTAATGTGCGATTTTTTAACGAAGGCATTTGTTCAGCAAAATTGCGATTCGATTTTTTAAGCTGTCGACGTTTTTGTAACATTCATTTATCAAAGTTCATACATCACAACCCTAACCAAATAAGGCAAAGCTCGCACGGTAGTGGCACAAATAAATTACGAAAGCCTCGCAAACAGACAGAAACTTCAATTTACAAATGGTTAAAGTGAAGACTCCCGGACGCGATGCATATAGGTAAAAATTCAATATTTTATAAATTAATTTCACGCTCTCACATTCTACCTGCCCCTCGCTCATAACATACTGTTTATACAGGAATGCACCGATTACAAATTTTTTTCATAAGAAGTAAGCACAATTTTTGTTTGATAAAGAATGTTCTTATTATTTACTCCCGATTTATTTGACCAGTAACGCGACCGAAGATTCTAATAACGAAAGGAGAAGAGCAGAGAGTAACGCGTCACGTGCATATATGGAGGATGAGTTTAATGTGTCGAAAAAGTCTAAACAAGCTTCGTTGCCAAACAACTTAAAAACGGAAACCAATAATTCCACTATCATAGTAATTGATGATGACGATGATTACATACTGCCACTACAAATTATTCCTAGCGTAAGTAAAGTTACACTCGATTTTTTTCATTTCATCAGCAGATTACATTCTCATTAGAATTTCCCTATTTTTTTTTTTTTTAAAAAAAAAAGATTATTGAAGATGATGAAGACGACCATCTATTGTTAAATAACGATCCTGATGCGGCATTTGCAACAAGTGTGTTGGAGAACGATCAAAGGTTTCTTGTTCATTAATGACCAATTAATTCCTTCTCGATGAGATTAATTAAT